TGCGTATTAGGTTTTCTTCATATCGGCACCAGTTTTCTTCGTTTGAACGCTTACCAGAAACTCCAGCATTCCAAGAATCTCTTTCAACTTAAAGCAGCCAGTTCTGAATTATATACAATCACCTCTCAAAGTGATAACTTTATATTTGACCCCTTGCCTTTTGAAACCATAAAAGTAAGAATCTGAACCTGTTTTAAATGCATTTAATGGAAGAATAGTTAAATTGACTCCCTTTCTATCCAATTTATTTGCAATTTCCCAAATTTCTCAATTTTCATCTGCGAGTCCTTTCGCTCACTGTACTGACAACCCGTTTTACGACTACATCAATTCCGTAAAATCTTCGATTAAGTTAACCATTGGCCTAAGGTGGTTCAACATATCGCCTAGGTCTACAAAAAGTATTGAAACGATTATTTTTGACGTTTTTGTAACTTTTGACTTCACCTCTGTTGAGCAAAACTTTCCAACATTTTTATGAAAGCCTTTAGTCCTCAAAAAACTGTGATTGTGAGTCCTTGTTATTTCTATGAATGACTATTGCTCCACAATACCATGACGAGTGTTCACACTAATTTGAGGCCCATCGTGCTCCATAAAGGTTAGATGAAGAAAACTAAATTAGTAGCTTTATTCGACCAGTAAGTCTAGCGCGATTATTGGACGAAAAGCGTGTGCGCATAACAAGGTTTGATCGTAGACAAAGCTCCCAAGACATGTAAAACAAAAGATGGGAAAATTTTCGCGAATCTTCAGTCTGCAAGTTTCCTTTCCGGATGGCAGTAGAAATAGATTGTTGTTACACCTCAGCAGGTGGCAATTAATAAATGTCGGTAATATTAGTAAAGCCTGTCTCCTCTATAATTTCATTGATGTTTGTGAAATCAGTTTGCAACTCCTTCTCTTCTTTAAACGGGTTAAAACTGGTATCTAATTGATATCTATCTAACATCTTAACCGGTCTTTAAGTGGAAAAAAGCAGACTGAAAATAACGGAGTGGTAAATTAGCTCGTTACATGTCTACGTCGTCAAAGAAATATGGTTAGAATTATTTCAGATGGTTTTGCCCATTCAAATGCACTATAAAGCCGCTGCAATCATTCTGTGTTTCCAGTAGGACTTCTTTTGCTATTTCCTATACCCTCTTCCAGCGGAGTCGAATAGTTAATCGATCGACCGGCTTGTTAATGTAACCTATCTCAAAATCCAGGTTGCCATAGCAATACCGTGTTTGCGCTTGCATGTTAGTGGCTTCCGTTGGCATAGCGACATTCTTCCCTATCTTCTGCATACTTTTTACAAGACGATTCAGTTGTAAAGTCTTTGTACGCCCTCAGCATTTTGAAGGCCACTCGCAAAAGTATTGCATCTCAGTCAGCGTCTGGTTGGCGATGGACTTTTAATCAGGTTCATAGGTTGCAGTCTATCCTCCATTATGGACATTATTTGTTTATACTGTTGATCAAAGCTTTGGCGAGCGTGCTTGTGTTTGTTTTGCCTGACCAGGAAATATCGGAGTTATGTTTTACGGACTCGATACACACCAGAAATTGTGAAACATCGTTGTACCTAATTAATATTTTCATTGTAACATTTATCGATGTGGCACCCGTTCATCAACCTTAGGTTGTATTTTGGAGAGAGAGAGAGAGAGAGGTGTATTTAGGCGAATCCGACTGCCTTCATGTGTTTGGCTTTCCACGCTCAAAAGAGTAGTTTACAGCACATATTTCGATTAAATGCCCTTTGTTGTAACCTCTGTGATTGTGTCCAATTTTTCCTGGCATTGCTCTACAAGGTTGCTTAACCGTTCGTATCAGATTTGTGTCTAATCATCTAGGCGGACGGCAGAAACGGCTGATTGTAGAGTGCCCAATTTTGATGTATCGCATGCCCAAAAGCGCTTATTGAGCATTCATTTTCAACAATTTTTTAAATACCTTCCATAGAATACCAGAGTGTATGTAAAACTGTATGCGCAAAGTAATGTAAGAAACTTTCCTGTGATAGTTATCAGTAGCACGCCCTTTATGTCAGGTGTAACAGGCATTATGAATAGGCTGATAATCAGTTTGCGCGTTTTCTTAACGGAAATAATTTTATCTATATCCATAGGTAAGTGGCCTTTCACCACTGCCATATTAATGTCTGCTATAATAGCCTTAAAATCCTCCGATGTGTGTAAAGCAAATCAAACTTTCTCCGTTTAGGAGTCCTGAGAACGGAATCTGTACTCTCAACCCTTTATACACTATCCGCCAATTTAGTTTTTGTTATCTCACATGAGATTCCTGGAGGTTCTAACCCAAACTACCAAGAAACTGTCTTCCCGACTTTAGATATTGATAGCCAAAAATGAGTTAGCTCAAAAATGACAGTTTACAAAACTGTGGCTCTTAACGTTGTTACTTAAGATTTGAGCTTCGAAATTCGCGATCAGATCTAGAGATACCTTTGACTTCCGAAAGATTTCTAGGCGTCCTAAACCATTTGCAACAATCTAGGAGTTTCGTGGAAGAAGATAAGGATATTGGAATGGCAGTTTAAGGCCTATTTGTCATGACCGACGAGGTAAAATATGTAGCTTTTAATCCGCCCAGAAATTAACTTTTCAACTTGCCGTTAATCCATCTCGACAAATCTTTGAGTGTTGATCCAAAAATTGATGCAACTGTTTCAGCCGAAATCTATCGGCTGCAGTGGACTAACTGCGGAATATTCAGAAGTTTCTACCAGGCAGTAAGAAGTATAAAAACGTTGCATAATTCACCATACTGACAGCAGAAGCTACACCCCGAGAGTTTAACCGGCGATTTCGACAAAGATCACCGTGTGCGCCACAGCTTGGTGGTGCAATGACTGTGACGTGCGCGTGATTTAGACAATAGTACGAGTAGACTTTTGCTGC